TTGGTTTTTGTGTGTGTGTGTGTGTGTGTGTGTGCGTACACATAAATGTATTGCCTTTTTGCTGGGAGAGCATAGAAGCAATGGCCCATCCCAGTAGCAGTGAACATACCTAGCACACACATCTTGGTTTCTAAATACCATTCTTCAATAAAAGGAACCAAGGATCCTTAGGGAGAAGTAGGTGATTCCAGAGCCAGAGCAGGGAAAATACAAAAGGAACCCTGGAACATCCTGTGGTGCCAGAAAGGAAGGAAGTGCTCTAAAACTGATGGTAGCATATTCAAAGGACACAGGAGCCAACTTGAGGGAGGTGTGTGTGTGTGTAAGAGAGAGATATTCCCAATGACCAAATCTGACACAAGTTTGATAACAAATAATGATAGTAATAGAACAGAACCTATGGAGTAAAATATATTAGTCCATACTAATATAAGTAAATAAATAAATGGCAGCAGGAAGGCCCCTGTTTCTTACTGAAGAATTTCAGATACTGTATAAGGAACAATAGAAGTAGAAAATCACCACTTGGCAAAAACCACAGGCAAGAACCGTAGATGCATATTAAAATCAGTGGATGAAAGAATGATAAGAAATAGTACATTTACATAGCCTCGTAATATCTCCCCCACAAAGTACTTAGTAATTACAGGGGAAAAATGGTAGCTTTATAGTGAAGAATTGTGGCAGGCACCACCTTAACCAAGTGATCCAACTCAACATCGCCAGTAATGGACATATTGGCACCATACATTTCCTGATACAATGCCCTGAGAAGTACAAAACATCACTTTTGTATTTTTTTTGTCAAAAATATATCGCCTCAATCTAATAATGAGAAAACATCAGATCTAAATTGAGGTGCATTCTTCAGTATAACTGGCTAGTACTGTGGAGACATGCTAACTGAACACTGTGTGGGATTTTGGATTGGATCAGAGACCAGACAAAGGATATTAGTGGGACAATTGATGAAATTAGAATAAATTCTATAGATTAATATTTTTCTATCAGTGTTCTCTTCATGTACTTTGAAGCTCTGTTATTGTTATGCCATCCTGATGTTAGTAGTTTTGTCATTATGAAGTATTCTTTATATCTGACGATAGTCTTTGTTTTAAAGCCTACTTTAATCTGATATTAATCGAGTCACTTTACGTTCCTAATGCTTACTGTGTGCGTGGTATCCTTTTCCATCCTTTTGTTTTCAACCAACTTTTGTCTTTATATTTAAAATGCATCTCTTATAAATATATTTTTGGCTCTTATAAATATATTCTGGCAGTCTGGTTGGTTGGAGTATCTAGTCCATTTATATTTAATGTGATTATTGGTATGGTTGGATAAAGTTAGCTTTATCCTTTGTACGTTTTGTTGTATATTCTTTGTGTGTATTGTGTTTTCCTCTGGGTGCTTTTTCAGCATTCTTCTCCTTATATTTTGTTTTTAGTAGTTTGACTATGATGTGCCCAGGGATTGGTTTTTTCCTTTGTATTTATACTACTAGTGGTTTTTTGAGTCTTTTGGATCTGGTGTTGATGTCCTTCATTAGTTTTTTGGAAAGTTCTCACTCATTGTTTTGTAAAACATTTCTTCTGCCCCATTCTTTCTCTCTTCTCCTTCTTGGACTCCAATTATATGTATGTATGTTAAACTACCTGTTATTGTCTCACACATCTGAGATGCTTTTTTTTTTAAATATATATTTGTGTTTTTTGGCTACTTTTCTACTGACCTACTTCCAAATTCAATGATGCTTTTTCTTTTATTTCCAATCTGCTATTCAGTCCATCCAGTGATTTTTCTTTTTTAATTTCAGATTAGTATTTTTTTTTTCAGTTCTAGAAATTACTTCCATTTCTCTTTCAGTTTATCTTTCTGTTCTATGATTTCCTGTCTTTTCCTTCATTATAATTCTGTTTTCCTTTATGTCCTTGAACATTGTTAAAATAGCTGCTTTGAAATCATCTGCAAATTTCAACATCAGGGTCTTTTCAGGGTTTGTTTTTATTAATTACCTTTTCTTTTGAACATGGGTCAAATTTTCCTGGTTCTTCATAAATCTGATAGTTTTATCCTAGATATCAATGATACATTGTAGAGACTTTTTATTTTGTTATGCTTTTCTGAAGATTGATCAGTTTTTATTTCATTAGCCAGTTAACTTGACTTAACTCACAGTCCAGAATTTGATATCCCTGCAGTGGGCAGCAGCTGGAATCTCTCTTCAGTTCTTTTAGGCCACTTGACATCTGTTCTGTTTATGTGTAGTTCAGCAGTCAACCAGAGACTCAGGCAGAGTTTATATGTGGAATTTGAGGTTCCCTCTTTATCTCTTCTTCCTGGGATTTCTCCCCTTACTTTCATCTCTTGTCATAACTTTAAAGTCCGTCCTCTGATTCTTGAAGACATTAAGATTGCTAATTTTATTTGAATTCTAGCCAGCAGGGCACCAATCAGGGCCTGCCTTAAGGGGAAAATTAAAAAAAGGAGGTGGGGGGTGGGGGCATGTACTCATCCAGTGCTTTTCTCTTCTTCCTGATATTAACTTTTCCTCTGGTTTTAGCCTGATTTTGGTCTCTAGTGCCTTCGCATAATTGGTTTATATATTTTATCCAGGATTTAAAGCTATCTGTGGAATGCTACTCCAACATTACCAGAGGCATAACTTCTTTTTAGCACTTTTTAAGATAAATTCATGTTTTTTATATAAAAAACATTATTTCTAATTGCTGCTTAATGTTCTACTGTAAACATCCATCATATTTTATGTATCCATTCACCCTAGTGATCTATATCTAGGTTGCCTCCAACTCCCTGACGCTACAAAGAGTACCATTTATAACAGTGCCCGTGGGAGAGTTTCTCTGGCATATATGTCCCAAGGTTGAGACTGCTGGATTGTAACATATTTGCATATCTAATTTCATGAAGTAAATCCTCTTCCAGCAGGACATAAATGTTCACCTTTTCCCCATCCCCACAGTACTTAGAATATCCAACTTTCTTATGTTTGCCAGTCTGATAGATACAACGCGGTATCTCGTTTAAACTGGCATTTTTCTGATTTCTAGAGACGTACACTTCACATCTTTTCACCTTTTATGTATTGGTTTTTATATCCATTGTCTGTTTTTCTGCCTGTCTTTATTGAGTCATATCTTTACTTTTCATTGTGATTTGTGCTGCTTTGGCCATATTGAATAAATTCTTTCCCATTTCAAGGAAATATTCTCCTACATTTTCTTCTTTTAACTTTATAATCTTACCTTTCATATTTAGGTCTTTAATAATGTTGTCACTTTTTTGTGTATGGTATGAGGTATAAATCCAACTTTATGTTTCTCAATATGATGGAGCCAGTTTTTTAAGCATGTCACTGTTTTTATTACTAGTGTTTGGATATATGTTTTAACATTTGTTGCAGTGATTCTACAAAGGTGGTCTTCCTAAAATATAAACCCAAACATGTCACTTGAAATCATTCATTGGTTCTCCGTTGTCTTAGGATACAGTCTGTAGTATGTAACATGGTTTAGAAGATCTTTCCAAGTTAGTCTCTGCATATTTTGCCCAGCTAGGTAGTGCTTAGTATGTGCTCTTTCTTCCTCTGGGAAATATCATTGTACACAGCACAGTAGGTTTTACATGTTTGTTTGTATTCTTCACTACACTGTGGTCTCAACAGTTCTTGTTCAACAAATACTTACCAGTTGAAAGACTCGAATTTAAAAACTTGGTCCTTATCCTTCAGTAACTTAAGTAACTACATTAATGTTTTCAGACCAGATTAATGCTTTGGGGAACTAATTTAGCTGATAAGTAAAAGTTTATTTAATAATTACTGATAAAATCTCAACGGACATTTCTCTAAATTCTTCCCTAGGATGATATACTATGTTCATATGGCACCTTATTTTTTTTCCATAGCTCTTTACTTATCTCAATTGACCCATAGAACAACTTTGTAGGTAGAAAGATTGGGCATTACCTCTTGTTTTATTGATACTGAATCATAGTTTAAGTAATTTGCTTGAGGTTCACATGGCTAGTTTTGTCTTTCCATCTACTCTTATTTGAAAAAGATTTAAGTTTGCTTAGACAACTATATACTAGTAATGATATCAATAGAATCTATTTCAATCCATTTGTTCTACCAGGTATGTTTTAAATAATATTTTTGAGGTTTCCTTTTGTCGGCTTTTTTCTTTTTTGTTTTGGGGGAGTTGTCTTAAGCCTTATGACTGTGGCAGTAATGGGTTTCGGTCATATTAGTACTTTCCCGGGGAGAACGGTGGTTAAATGGTTTCACTTAGAGATTTGGCTATAGAACCTTAAATATTATGGACATTGTTAGACTATAACTATGGGAGGTTTGATGTCTTTAAAATCGTATGCATTATAAATATTTCCATAGGATATCTTATATACCAGAACCTGTATCTTTTAAATTTATATTTTAACTGCTGCTTTACTTCCTTAAATTTTGTGAGGCATTTTTGGCATGTGCTCTATGTTAAGTAGCTTGGGAACTTGGGAAGTGTTTCTAGGCAGATTATACACTTGGAGGTAGAATATTTCTCTAGCTTCATTAATGTTATTAAATAAAGTTGAGATTATCTAAGTTACTAAATAGTTCAAGGTGACTTTCTGTTTAATTACTGGGATTTGATAAATTCATAAAAGATTATATTTTAATGATACTTTTATATATTGAATGTTTTACTGGTGTTAGGTACTTGAACTATTAACTAAAGTTGTCTAGTGTTAAACATTCAGTAATGGAATTAGCACTTTTTGCTTTCAGTTTTTTTTTTAAAAATATGTTAAAACATCAGTATTGTGTAAATTTAACATGTGAGCTAGTTCTTTGAAATTATTTCCTTTTAGTTTCTAGTTATTTGAATTAGTATCATCAATGCAATGTTAGAATTAAGTGTGTTTATAGTTAAAGATCATATTAATTGTATTTTTCTCTAAATCTCTCTTTTCCTTCTCTTTAGAGGAAGTATCATTCTGCAAAGGAAGCTTATGAACAACTTTTGCAAACAGAAAATCTTTCTGCACAAGTAAAAGCAACTGTCTTACAACAGTTAGGTATGTAATAATATACATTTAGTGTATTATAAGTGCTTCTCTTTGTGTGTTTTACATGCCAGGAGTGGAAAATATGTGGCTCATGTATTCTATTCCTTTTCCTTCCTTTGCCCAGTAATCTGAACCCAGCATATTTCTACCCTCTGCCAAGCATGATCCATCTCACAGGCAGTCTCAATACAATTCGTTAGTGCAACTAACCAGTTGCCTTCGAGTCAGTTCCACCTTATGGCAACCACATATGTGTCAGGGTAGAACTGTGCTCCATAGGGTTTTTAGGTTGATTGGATGGAAGTAGATTGTCAAGCCTTTATTCTGAGGCTTCTCTGGATGGACTTGACCTCCAACCTTTTGGTTAGCTGCTGAGCACGTTAACCATTTGCTTTGTTCAGGGAAACCTTATTGCAACTAGGCCTTTTAAATTCTCAAAATTATTCCCTAGTACTTGATCCATGGGTAAGAGGGATTGAATACTTCTTTGTGCCATATATATGCTGAGTACTCTATGAAGTTAATTGATTTGCCTAAAGTCACTTAGTGGTTACTGAGCTTGCTTTCATAGCCTTATTGTTAATAACTGTTAGCAACATTTATAGAACATCTAACATTATAGTTTTCTGTAAGCGTGCAATTCTATTGTCATGTTATAGATGAGGGAAGTCTAGCCATTTGGAGATAATTGTGTGACTACACCAAGAAGATAGTGAACGAGCTCCTCAACATTTTGCTGCTTAGTTAATGAGTCATATTTCTTGTTTGTATTTGGTATTTGGGTTTTTTTCAGCTTTGTTTTTGTGTGGGCAAATAATTTATTTTTAATTTTATCTAACATTATAGTAATAGGAACGTTTTCATAATGTAATTATTTTTATATAATTTAAACTTAGATTTTTATGTACCTTCATGATAATAATGTCATATGATTATTAATACAAAAAAACACACATTCATATAAAGCCTTTGTTTTTAGTTTTGTTTATAATTTACTCTTGTTAGAATTTTACTTGAGTTATCCATACTTTAAAAAATTATGAAAGTATTTAAGTATTTGTTTTAAATGAGCCATATATAGTGTTTGAGAAATGTGAATTTGTATCTTTAAATTAAAATAAGTTTATTAGTACAGTTGAAAAAAGGGGGGTTGTGTTAATTCTTAAGTAAAAAGAACAAAGTGGTACCTTTAGAATAGATAACTTACCTATTCAGCTCATATTTGAATGCCAGCCTTTTCTCCATACTGTTTCTGATTATGTTTTTATGTATTTTGGCTTCACTGAAGAATGTATAAATAGCAAAAATGCATACGTCTTTTAAGTTTAAGAAATGGATGGAAATAATTTTGGTTTTAGCTGTGTCTCAGTCATCTCTCCTATTTGGCAGTGACTTACCATATGTCAGAGTATACAAGCAAACTTTTAATGGTTTTCAAAACCAAAATACTTCCCCTAATTGTGTCTAATTTTGCCTGCATATCTAGTCTTCCTACTTGCTTGTCAGTGCTGCTTAAGCAGCTGCTTTTAGAACCAGTTACTCTAGGTCCTGTTCTAACTAGGAGAGATAAGGGAAGAACAGGAAAGATGAATAAACATGTGGTTCACTTATACTCCCATAAAACATGGTAACTGAGTACAGTTCAGTTTTGGAGCATAGCTATTATGATAAATGTCAAAAAATAAGAGTCTTTATCTGTTATATATACTACGGACTATACACGAAGAACAGAGCTAATTGTATACACTTGAATTGGTCCACAACTGAAATACGATTCACTGGCGAATTAAACCCAGATTATTCCAGTATGGCTTTAAGGTTTAGAATATAGTATTCCATGATCTAATCTTTTGATTGATTATATAACTGTCTAGCTCTAAATTTATTTATTAAATGAACATTTGATATGCTACTCTGTACCATTCTTATTTGTACCATTTGAATCTACTTTTCTTATTGCCTTGATTTTTTTTTTTAATTGTCATATGCTTTATAGTTTTTATTTTATGTAAGGTGTGAATGTACGTGGCCAATGCCAGTACATTAGGAATGTGTGCGTGTATGTGTGTTTGTTTTAATCTGAATTATCATTGATTATACAGCCTCATGTTTATTCTTTGAAAATAAACATTGGATTGGTAGACTGTCGTGGACATTCTTAAAATGCACATTAATTTTTACATGAAATAGTAAATAAGATTTAACATCTTTAGATTCATTGTTTCATAACTTGAAATTATTTCATATACCAAAATTAGAAAAGAAAAAAGAATCTATGGTTTTTAATCTAAGTGTCAAGTCACTACTTAAAATCGTTTTAGTTTCTCTTGAATAAGAGCTCTTGATAGCTTTGACTGTACCTTCTTGTGAGAAACAGACTTTCTTATGGCCCAAATCAGGAGTTTTAAGTTTTGTGAGTATGTACTCTAAACTAAATGAATAAGTTGACTGAAAGAGTATTTTAATTTTGTTTTCTTATTGGTATTCTTAAATATAAAAGAATAATTAAATCATATAGGTAAATATTTTTAATCTTTTATTATAGGTTGGATGCATCATACTGTGGATCTCCTAGGAGATAAAGCCACCAAGGAAAGCTATGCTATTCAATATCTCCAAAAGTCATTGGAAGCAGATCCTAATTCTGGCCAGTCCTGGTATTTCCTCGGAAGGTGGTTCTCATCAGACACTTACATTTTGCTTTTGTCAATTAAGTATTTAAGTTCCTTTCCTTCTTATTTCTAGTATTTTCTCAATATGTCTGTTTAACAGAACAGAGAATCAATTTCTCATTCTGCCTGATGACTACCAGTAGCTAATGGAACCTTACTGTTTATAATTTTGATTAATGATACATACCTTAGATAACCTTAGAATGGACGTATTTGATTAATAGTAGATCTTAAATCACAGTTCTGCTTGCAATCTTACCATGAGGAAGTGGATATATTTTTCTTGAATTTGTTGGAAAGGAGAAGTGACATGTAGTGAAAATAGTTTCCTACAAGTCTATAAACTTTTCTCCATACTTTTCATGCTGTGAATGTCTGTTACATTTACTGAATATCTGAAATATATCTTAAGTATATGTATCTGGTAGATTATATTTTTAGATCATCATGAGATTGTGTTTTCATTCCTAATAGTTTTTAGCTTTCATGGTATGGTAGTTTTTAGCTTTCATGGTATGGTAGAAAGATGAATGTACTAGGAGCCAAGAGACTTGGATTTAAGTCCTGGTTGGGTTACTGTTTGTGGAATCATAGATGGTATAGTTAAACCTCTTGAAAAGGCAGGGATGCTGATAAACATCGTACAGTGCACAGGACGGCCCCCCACAACAAAGAACGATCTGGCCCAAAATGTCAATAGTGAATAAGTGAACTAACTAAAAATGTTTGCATTTGGAGCTAGCACCATCATTGCTTTTAGTTTTGCATGCACAGTGTGAGTCTTTATGCAGTGACTGTAAAGGAGGCCTAGTACTGAGAAAGAGGGGTGCCTAGTCATTGCCTCTAGTTTTATGCATGAAAATTTATTGTAATATAGATTAAAAGCAAATTACACCAGGAAGTATTTTCCTTTTGACCCAAGATAAAGATTGATAGTTTAATATAATACAGTTGTGTGGATGTCTTTAGTATAACTTTTTAAAAAATTCTAGGTATTTAAAATTAATATATAATGAAACGTATAAAATTACTATTTTGAGTAATGCTGTAATTTTCTGCTTCAGTAAGGACAGCAGTATTTCACAGAAATTTTTTTCTAGTTAACTAATTTTCTTTTTAAACCATTGAGATGCATTTTATTTTAACCTTTTTGGATAAATGTTTCCAAATACGCAAGATACTTTCTTGACTTCTCAAATAAAGGATACTAATCACAATTTAACTTGTTCTTTGGTTCAACGTTGTCATTTTAGTCATTCATTATTTTTCACCTGTAATAATATAATTCTGTGTCTCTCCTTGGAGTTTTATTTTCTTACTCTCTTTCACTGTCTTCTAATGTGTTGCTTCTAATGTTTTATTGTGAGAAAAATCAATTTTATAAATAAATTATATTTTAGAAGTTATTAAAGCTCTGAGTGAAGACCTTAAATGTTAGTAAGAAACTTTGGGATTCGATGATCCTAAGATTTCTGAGGCTTTTTATTACCTATCTCTGCATTCAGGTCTGTGTTGAAGATTGAAGTTGCTCATCATTTGGCATGTGTAGATTAAAGAGAAATTGTAATGTGGTGATAATTGTTCTACTACCACCAGTCATCAACTGTGTTATCCCAGAATCATAGAATGTTGGAGCTGAGGGAGACCAGAGAGGTCATGTAGTTCACCCTGTAAGCTCTTTCATCTTAAAGATGTAGAAAGTGGGTCCAGAGGAGTAAAGTATTTTGTCTAAAATCACATGGGTATGTAATTAGTATCAGAGCAGGGGCTAGATCCCAGGCTCACCCAGTGCTTCTACCATTACACAAGGCTGTCTCAGAGGAACCTATATAAGTTTAATTGGAGAAAAAGTAGTTGGTGATTGGACTGGGACACCTGTATTTGGGTACATTGGCTTCCTGCTTTCACTTCATAGGAATGGAATGTACAAACATTAGTTTTGGGAAATAGTGCTTATTTCTCCCAGCAGTTAGGTGAATTTGTCTATAAATTTGAGATTTGACTTTGGTTTAACAACAACAACAAAGCATGTTTTCTACTATCTATTAGCATTCTCTTTCACTCTGGTAGGTGTCATTCTTTGGCATTGTAGCTGACCTCTTCTCCTAAATTCCCCCTTCATGAAACAGATTGCACGCACCCTCTAAAACTGCCTTTTCTAAATTAGTGGTATTTCTTACATTACCCAATCCACAAGAGTAGTGAATCCATGGGCTTATTTCTACGTCACCCGTGTAGGTCTTCTGTATCCATGACCATATGGATGAGTTCCAGATCTAGATTTCTAAACTTCAAGATACCATGAACTTTGGGACCACGCCTCATGCTCTATACCTAACATTTTTTTCAGTTGCCATGGAGTTGACTCTGACTCATGGTGACCCCATGTGTGTCAAGAGTAGAATTATGCTCCATAGGGTTTTCTGTTTCTTGTTTTTTCTTAACTTTTTCCCATACAAAAATTTATACATACAATGTTATGTGACCCTAATTGCTCTCCCCATGACCCTAATTGCTCTCCCCATACTGTGACAGCACACTCCTCTTTTCCACCCCTGATTCCTCGTGTCCATTCAACCAGCTCTTAACCCTCTCTGCCTTCCCATCTCACCTCCGGACAGAAGCTGCCCGTTTAGTCTCTTGTATGTACTTGAGCTAAGAGGCACACTCCTCATGAGTATCACTTTATCTCCCACAATCCAGTCCAATCCCTGTCTGAAGAGTTGGCCTTGGAAATTGTTTTAGTTCTGGGCTGATAGAGAATCCAGGGGCCACACCTTCTGGGGTTCCTCCAGTCCAAGACCATTAAGTCTGGTCTTCTTACTAGAATTTGAGTTCTGCACCCCACCTTTCTCCTGCTCCATCCAGGACTGTCTGTTGTGTTTCCCTCTCAGGGTGGTCATTGGTGGTAGCTGGGCACCATCTAGTTCTGGTCTCAGGCTGATGAAGCCTCTGGTTTATGTGGCCCTTTCTGTCTCTTGGGCTACTACTTTCCTTGTGTCTTTGGTGTTCTTCCTTCTGCTTTACTACAGGTGGTTGGGACTGATTGATGGATCTTAGATGGCCGCTTGCAAGCTTTTAAGACCTCAGATGCCAGTCACCAAAGTAGGATGTTGAACATTTTCTTAATAAGCTTTGTTATGCCAGTTGACCTAGATGTCCCCTGAAAGCGTGGTCCCCAGACCCCTGTCCCTGCTACGCTGTCCCTTGAAGTGTTTGATTGTATTCAGGAAAATTCCTAGCTTTGGTTTAGTCCAGTTGTGCTTACTTCCCCTGTAGTATGTGCTGTCATTCACTTCACCTAAGATAATTCTTAATCTATTATCTAGTTAGTAAATAATCCTCACCCTCCCTCCCCACCCTCGTAACCATCAAAGAATGTTTTCTTCTGTGTTTAAACATTTTCTTGAGTTCTTATAATAGTGGTTTTATACAATATTTGTTCTTCTTTGACTAAATTCACTCAACATAATGCCCTCCAGATTCCTCCATGTTATGTTTCAAGTCTTTTTCGTTGTTCTTTATTGTTGTGTAGTATTCCATCATGCGGATATACCATAATTTGTTTATGCATTCGTCCGTTGATGGGCCCCTATGTTGTTTCCGTCTTTTTGCTATTGAGAACAGTGCTGCAGTGAACATCGGTGTGCGTGTATCTGTTCGTGTGATGGCTCTTATTTCTCTAGAATATATTGCAAGGAGCGAGTTAGCTGGATCGTCTGGTACTTTTATTGCTAGCTTTTTAAGGAAGCACCAAATCAATTTCCAAAGTGGTGGTACCATTTTACATTCCCACCAACAGTGTATAAGTGTTCCAGTCTCTCCACAACCTCTCCAACATTTATTATTTTGTGTTTTTTTGGATTAATGCTGGCCTTGTTGGGGTGAGATGATATCTCATTGTAGTTTTGATTTGCATTTCTCTAATGGCTAATGATCGTGAGCATTTCTTCATGTGCCTGTTAGCCACCTGAATATCTTCTTTGCCGAGTGCCTGTTCATGTCGTTTGCCCATTTTTTAATTGGGTTATTTGTCTTTTTATTGTTGAGGTTTTGCAGTATCTTGTAGATTTGAGAGATTAGACGCTGATCAGATTCGTTGTAGCCAAAAATTTTTTCCCAGTCTGTAGGTTGTCTTTTTACTCTTTTGGTGAAGTCTTTTAATGAACATAAATGTTTGATCTTTAGGAGCTTTCAGATGTCTAGTCTCTCTTCTGGTGCTTGTGCATTGTTACTTATGGTTCCTATTGTGCTTATGCCATGTATTGGGGCTCCTAGTGTTGTCCCTATTTTTTTCTTCCATGATCTTTATTGTTTTTGATTTTATATTTAAGTCCTTGATCCATTTTGAGTTAGTTTTTGTGAATGCTGTGAGATATGGGTCTTGTTTCAGTTTTTTGCAGATGGACATCCAGTTATGCCAGCACCATTTGTTAAAGAGACTGTCTTTTCCCCAATTAACGGACTTGACTTTGGGCCTTTGTCAAAAATCAGCTGCTCATAGGTGGATGAATTGATGTCTGGGTTCTCAATTCTGTTCCCTTGGTCTATGTATCCATTGTTGTACCAGTACCAGGCTGTTTTGACTACTGTGGCAGTATAATAGGTTCTAAAATCAGGTAGTGTGAGGCCTCCCACTTTGTTCTTCTTCTTGAATAATGCTTTACTTACCCGGGGCCTCTTTTCTTTCCATATGAAGTTGGTGATTTGTTTCTTCATCTCATTAAAAAATGCCGGTGGAATTTGAATTGGGATTGCACTGTGTCTGTAGATCGCGTTGGGTATATTTGACTTTTTCACAAAGTTGAGTCTACCTATCCATGAGCAAGGTATGTTTTTCCACTTATGCAGGTCTCTTTTGGTTTCTTGCAGTAGTGTCTTGTAGTTTTCATTGTATATGGTCTTTTACGTCTCTGGTTATATTTATTCCTAAGTATTTTCTCTTCTTGGGGGCTATTGTAAATGGTATTGATTTGGTGATTTCCTCTTCGAAGTTCTCT